ATTGGCAGACCAGACTGAAGCAAGCAATACAGTTGAAAGGAGCATGGGAAGTGGCGCTAGTGGAGTTGCAGTATCTGAATTCTTTGTTTACTATACAGTATCCTCAGACTATCAACATTACAAGTATTGATGATATAGCTGTTGTTCCTAAAGATGACGGCTCTACTCTGTATCTTCTAGAAGAGTTTACAGAGCAAATTGTGGTGCCACCAGGAAACTACAAGAGGGACGAGTTATTGCTCGACGTAATCAACAAGCAAGCTCCAAAAATAAAAGGGTTTACGCAACATCCTGGAGGGCCCATGGAGGATACCAACGGAGGTTGTCCTGATGAGCGAGCAGTGAACTTTCGCTTTCTGGCACCAACAAACCATCGCGTAGTCGTCTCAGTGTACAGTCCGCGTATTTCTGTTTCATTTCCTAAAGAATCAGCCTTACTCCAGCGTATCCTTGGGTTTGACGAGTCAGGCCTATCAAACGCATCAAAGGAAATTCGTATCAAGCGCTTCTTGGCAGCGCGAAAAGAAAATAAAAAAACAAGGGATGAGTATTTGGCAACAAGAACGGTGAATACTTTGCTGCAGAATCAAAGTCTGTACCTGTACTGCGACATTGTTGATTTCAGCTACCTTGGAGACACTTCCGCGCAGATTTTGCGTGTCGTGCCTATTAAGGGGCAAGTGAATGAGATGGTAGATAATGTATTCGATAGTCCCCATTACGTTCCGGTTTTACCATCATATTTTGAGACTATCCATCTGACTATAGCTAACGATAGTGGTGAAAACGCCAGGTTTGAAACAGGCAAATCACTAGTTAAGCTTCATTTTCGGCCAGCTCGATTATATTAAAAATGCCTCTTGTCGCGTACGAACCCAATCCACAGCGGTATGACGAAGTGTTTACCGTTCAAGTTGGACATGGAACCCTTACCCGATACCGAGGCTCGTACCAACAAAACGGGAGCGGCTTCTTTCCCCAAATCTTGAAAAACCTGTTCGCCAAAATTGCCAGTATTGCCAAGCCGATTATTCGAAGTGCTGCCCCGCATGCCAAAGCCGCACTAGAAGCTGCAACTCCCCACCTGCAAGAAGCAGCCGTTGAGGCCATTAAAGACACCAAGAAACGGGTAACGGACGCAATAGCAAAGCGATTTGAGCCACAAGAAGGACAAGGAGTCCGTAAGAAACGTGCACGACCACGAAAGATTACGAAAATTCGAAGAATACCACCACGCCACATTCCTGATTTCTTATAAAATGGCGTTTATTTTAGAAGGATCCGCGCCGGCTATGCAGCTGGAAAATCAGTTATTTGCCGTTCCCGCTTCCTATACCGACCGCTGGCGAACTGAACACGAAAGGATATACCCCAGCTCAGCGTTAACCGAAGACGGAACCGCCGGCGATATTTCTTTTTTTATTCCGGCCAGCACCAGCGGATTTTTAGCTTTACCGGATTTGTGCTTGGAACTGGAAGTGGCGATCAAAACGAAAAAAGGGACAGACCCATGGAGATTCATTACGGATGCCGACGGAGTCGCACCAGTCAATAATTTACTGCATTCATTATTTCAAACTGTACACGTGACGTTGGCCAACCGATTGATTTCGGACGCGTCACAATATTATCCCTACCGAGCCTATTTAGAAAGCCTGTTACGCTACTCGACCGATTCCATCAAGAGCCAGTTACGGTCTAGTGGCTTTTACTTGGACACACCCGGAGAATTCAACGATAACACAAAAAATGATGGCGAGGAAGCGCGGCGAAAGCTGTTCCTTAACAAAAATTATGTACAGCTGTCCGGTAAGCTGTTTTCCGATCTCTTCAACCAGACCAAACCTCTTATTACCGGAGTACCCCTGAATATTCGTATGGTGTTATCTCGACAAAGCTTCATGCTGCGTATTTGGGATGCTGATACCGACAAGAAATTCAAGATTTTTGTTAGGAACCCCCGATTGATGATTCGACGCTATATTCCAGCTCCAGACTTTATGATAGCCGTGGCCAATCAACTGCAGACAAAAACGGTCAAATATCATATCGAACGTACGGTTATTCGAGTTTCGGACATCCCAGCCAACACACAAAGCACAGTAGTCAGCAATGTACAGATAGGACAGCTCCCTAAAGTGGTTCTTATCGGGTTCGTTAATAGCGAGGATTTCCATGGAGCAGATAACACATCACCATTTCAGTTTCAACACTGTAACGTTCAGCAAATAAGCGTCGAGATTGATGGAGTCAGTATACCTACTAAACCCTACATGGCAGAATTTGATAAGCATCTGACTTTGGAGTGCTATGATGGACTGTTGGACACCCTTGGTCGGAAGTGTAACCCTACGGGAGAATGGTGTATTTCGAGGGAGGATTATGCGAAAGGCTATAGCGTGTTTGGTTTTGACTGCACCCCTGGGAGCACCGGCCTGGGACCATTGACCTTAATTCGACAAGGCAATTTAAGCATATCGGTTTCCTTTAGTAAACCACTACCAAAGCCCGTGATGATGGTGTGCTACATGGTCTACGACTCTATTTTAGAAATTAATCAACATCGGCAACTTATTGCGGACTTCACGACATGAACACGGCCGAAATAGAAACGGCACTAGCCAACAATGCCTTAACGAAATCGACATTTCGGGGTGTGTTTGCTGCCGATCAAGTGCCGTCAGACCTTGGTCAATTGCCAGCAGCAGTAGTCGTCAATTCCGACCCAGCCGCCGAACCGGGAAGTCATTGGATTGCGTTCTACCAGGACACTCCGGACCAAATCGAGTATTTTGACTCGTATGGCCAGCAGATATCGGTATATGGGGATTTTTCTTTTGTTAAAGGTCACAAAATAATAATGCAGAATCAACAACTGCAGTCTAATTTTTCTTCGGTTTGTGGTCAATACTGTATGTTTTTTCTTTTACGGCGAGCAAGTGGAGAATCCTTTCCACAGATTGTTCATTTATTCACTGATAGTCAACGTAGCAACGATATTATGGTTTGTCAGTATGTGAATTACAAGTTCGATATTAGCACTTCATTATTTGACAACAAATTTTTTAAACAGACTGCAAAAAAATAAACTACTTGAATGAAAAAACAATGTTGTCGTTGGATATACCTTAGTTGTAGAAAAATAGAATTAGACAGTCATACTACGAAGCTCAACACGATTACTCTCAAAAAATCCGTTAATATCCAATGAGCACACCTGCTTGTTGCTGACGCGATTATTCTCCAATAAAAATGCTTCCAAATACTTTCCGGTCTTTAGGGCGTCTTCCGCTTTCTTCCATTCCTCATCCGTCGGTTGCACCATCACTTTAGCGAATTTGCAGATGTGTGGTTCGTCGGAGTCCGGCAGATGACACGGACCACAGGTCGATGACCGATGCTTCGCAATCTGGGCCAGGAGCATCTGGCTGACCGCAGGCTTCAACCCAACGTAATCCAAACCATCCATTGGTGGGCTGTCTTTCAACTTTGCCGCTTCCTGGAACAAGGTCATTTCTTTCAGGATTTTTTCAGTCCGTCAAACGCTTTCTGCCCAAAGCTGATGCCACGCTTGGTCGGAATCATATCGCCGGCCTCGTTCTTGGTATAGTTACGGATGGTGGCCAGATTGGAGCGGTTGAATCGGCTCCAAGTGAAGTACAATCCGTTGCCCAAGTTGTACTTAGCAGCAGTCAGCTGGCAGTCGTCCGTGGTGGGCAATTTGGCCAGGTCATCCAGGTCGCCCTTTCCCGACATAATGATCCCCGCTAGCCGATGGAACTGGCGCTCATTTAGCGTAATATGCTTGGCCGTTTTCTCCCAGGTATCGGGACCCACCTCCTTCCATTCTCCAATGGTGACAGCCAACCAAGTAAAGTTACCGTACGCCGAGGTGCGAACGCTAATGAATTTGTCGTAGCCAATTTTGTAAACCGCAAACTGGCCGTCTAGAAATGCGGGCTTTTCCTTGTACATCCGTAGTTTAACTTGGGGGACGATTTCGAATTCCGGAACAGCTGCAGCTTTCGGCTTAGTCTTCAGCTTCTTGCTGGGAGCTTTCAAAAGGTCATCTTTTCCAGGTTTGCTGCCAGCGACTTCAGGCTGTTTGGCGGGTACAACGTCCGGACTCTTTCGTTTCGGATGAATGGCATCCTGGCGCACAACAGGAGCCGGAACATCCGCAGTAGTGCCCTTGGCATCGGTACCGAGAAAGGAGGAAAATATGACATCCATGGTTTAAAAAATTAGAACTGAACAGTAAAACGAAAATGTTGCAACTGACGGTTGACAACAAAAACTGACAGCGGACTTTTCACAAAATGCAACCATTAGCTGCGGTTGTGAGGTTCAAAAAGCGCACTTTTCAGAATGAGCTTTTTTTGCGTCACATTGGGGTACATGTGCGGCCCGTCTCTGGGACTGTGCTTTTGCTGCGGCACAATTGTGGAAATGAGTGCTTGCAAAGTCACAAAATGAAAATGTGCTGCGGGAAAGTAACAATTGCCGTCTTTTTTAACGAATCGAACTGCGGCAAACGTGGAACGAAATCAGTTTCACCGTTTCGGAGTTGCAGCCATGGCTGTAAAAGTTGTTCTTGATGCTGACTGGTTTATTATTAATAAACAGAAGTACGTCAAAAAATTAGCTTTTTTTGTTCCGTCTCGTGGAGTCTCTGGCGAATTCTCTTTCACTCTACCAACGTTCGCAGCATTGCACAGTAAACTTTTGCAACAACAAGCCCGACATTCCCACGGTCTGGTGTGGAATACAGCCGGTGACCTTTTGTGGAACCAAGTGGCTGACGCCATCGAAGAGATTTTTGACCGTATAAATCTACGGCCCGTGGACTGTGCGTTTTATTCCAAAGGACTGGAAAAGTGCCGGCTTTTTGAGAAGTACGTACCTACCGTCAAGAACCTTGACGACCTCGGCTGCCCGACCTTCAAAACACTGTGCACCTTGAGCCAGACTACGCGGAATAAAGCTATTGTGTTTGGACTATGGCTACCGTGAACAACATTGTTGCCACGGCGGATTTGAACTGCCAGTTGGATCTCGACCAAATCGAAGACAAGATACCAATGGCGCACTACGACCCACGTAAGTTTTCCGGGTTATTATGGCGTATTCTTAAACCGTACAAAGCACACTGCCAACTATATAGTAACGGTAAAATTACAGTAAATGGTGCTCGCACTGTAGCCGAAGCTGAGAATTTAGTTCAGCATTTCGCGCACATTCTCGAACGCTTTAGTTATCGTGTGACTGTTACTAACTTTCATATTGTTAATATGGTGGCGACATATGATTTTGGTCAGCGTTTTGATTTATTAGACTTAGCGTACAAAATACCACGCTGTAACTATTCACCGACGCGGTTTCTCGGTTTAATTGCGCAACTAGATACTTGTACAGCGGTTGTGTTTTATAGCGGAAAAGTCAACTTTCTCGGTGGAAAGTCCGCTGACGATATCGACCATGGGCTGCAGCAGCTCACCCGTTACATTGCCCGGAACTAAACTGGATAGAACAAAGTCAGCGGCTGCCGTATGTATGGACTGCGGAGGCAAATGCGACCGGGTCCGTGGCGCCATGGCCTTGCGATACCGACCGCCATGCGCTAGTCGTCAAGGATTCGTTGACCCGACCCACCGTTGCCCGCGGTGCGGCTACGTATGTTTCAACTACCCCTCGAAAACTACCGATGACAATAAATCAACTACTGGCGAAGACGTTTGCGGACCGTACAGTACCTTTCGCAATGCTGACCCGCTCCAGCCCAAGAAACCAAGTATGGCCAACTACAACGTCCGGCTGGCCAGCTTCACTGCATGGCCCAAGATCCGATTTCAGCGGGAACAGGACATGGCGGCGGCGGGCTTTATTTTTCTTGGACCTAATGACCGCGTCGAATGCTTTTCGTGTGGTCAAGTGGTGGAGGCGTGGCACCCTGATGATGATGTTTGGGAAGAACATGCTAGAATTGCACCTTATTGCCAGTTTGTATTGCAAACGAAGGGTGATCAGTTCATTGATATTGTCTTGGAGAAATTCAAAAAGCGTGTTCTGTTTTATTACTGAATTTACGGTTTTATTTTATTACTTTTTACGGCCTTGAAGTGCGTGTTACTTTTGTTAAATAGCTGATTAATGAAAATTGACGTCATGCGGAGCTTTTATGTGTAGCGGTACTTCGTAATTGGCTTTACGCTTCATCACGAATCTCTCTTACTGCTTCACGCCGTACCGGCTATGGCTTCAACATGTAAGGAATGATGCAACTTAGCACATAGCGTAACACCCAGCCGCACACTAGCCGAAATGCGCTTTTGGTGGGCCACCGAAATGCGCTTTGGGCGCCGCACATCCTGCGTCACATCTAGCGATAGGCCGTTGAAGTGGTAACGGTACCGTGCCGCTGGCGCGGCACATACAGCGGAACGCCGGGTAGTGCTCGTCAGCATCGCCCAATAGTCCCACTAACTACTTACAGTATGTCTACAGTGGCGTCTACGGGCTGTTTACAGATGACTACCGATGTATACAGACAGAATATCCAGCTGAACCTAAGAAAGGCTGCTTGTATACAACGGTAGACATCTGTAGACAACCTGTAGACACCCTGAAAATAATCTGTATACCTCCTAAGAAAACCTAAAGACTCCAAGGCCTCGTCCCGAATTTAAAGCGAATCTCGTTGCGATACAGCAACTCCACCTCGCGAGGTGGCTTCGCGTACCGTATCTGTAGGCGTGGCCACTGCATACAGCCACCTCGTGCGGTTGAGCAACGGTACCAAAGCTAGATTCGCTTCGAATTGGAGACCCACTCTAAGAATCCAGGTGACTACCGATAGGACTGCATGGTGTCTGCAGCCTGTACACAGACGTCTACTGTGACTATAAAATGAGAAAAAACGATTCACTTTTTTACTTTGGTACGAAACGTGCCACATGTGACCACTGGCAACAACATATGCAATTTCTATTAGTAGCAGCCGTAGCAAATCAAAAATAATGTCTGTGATTATTCGAAAACCTTCAACCTTTATCGTTTGCAAAGCAGACAATGGGCAGATGCTGAACTGCTAATAAAAGCGAAGCAAAGATTTCTGTCAAGTTCAGCTTTGTTCAGCTTCAGTTCCGGCTTTCGGAAGACGAGTAGCATGCTGTGTACAAATCGGTAGACCGCAACTCGGCGTACCACCGCGTATATACGAAGTGATACCGTCTTTATAAAAAATTAATGTCTTGATGAGCTGCTCATATCTGTACGCTTTCGCCACTACCCTCCCGTTGATTTCACTGTACTGCCAATAATCCGGGTTGCTTGCTCGATCCTGTGGCAGGAATCAGTAAGATCAGTTAGGCATTGTAATTTGTACGGTATGTCATTGCCTGTAGCACGGTGCACCAAGCAGCGACTGTGCTCCTGCCTACCATTTCTGTCAGGTCTTCCGACTCTTCGGAAGAACATCCGTCGTTGAACATCATTAACCATTCGTCCGTTGTGTTTCCATTCTCTCTGAGCCTCCAGCGATATCGATTGTGACCCAAATCAGAAACAGTTATTAGGAGATGCTGCCCTGGAATAATCAACAGTTTGCGTGAGAATTTTGCAGTACTGTCATTTGGTTAGGAATAAATTTTTCTGCCATTAGAAACGCCAGTGTTTAACTGCTGGGGACCGTTGCCAGTCAAACATACCGATATTTTCTGGCATCATCACGGCCGTTTCAAAATGTTAAAATATATTTTTTTTTAATAAAACAGTTTTGTTGTGCAAATATCCGGTTCTTTAGAGTAGTTTTGGTGATAAGGATTTTGGGTCAGCATTATTGGGTTGTAATTCAAAATCGAAATTCGTATCCGAATCGCTTTAAGGAAACTACTGAAAAACTGTAACTGTATGACAGCAGACTGGCTTTTTAAGTGTATTTTTTATCAAAATTCTGCAAAATCAATTTCATGGTTAATGGCTCGGTTTTTTTCTGTTCGAGCTTTAACGAAAAGACCAACACTTGGGCTTAAATCGGCTTTTCCGCTAGGGTATTGACGACTGCAGTTGTATCGATATGATGCGTACAGATACGATGCTTGGTGTGCTAAATTACTATGGTGCAATTCTTTCCGTAAGTTCGGAGATTTCGGTATTAACTGACTTAAAAATAATCTGGACCGTAATCTTGATTTCTGGTGCTTTTATTCTCATAACTCTAATAGAATGTAAGAAGTCAGAGACCTCCTTATCCAACTACGTTATAGGCCGAACAAAAATTACGCAGGAAGTATGACTGGTTCGGTTTCTGCTTTGACGAATTCGGCTGTATTCGTTAAAGCTCAACTTACCAGCAGGAGTTCGTAAGGAACCGGGTATTTCATCCACTTTGTCTACGCAAACAAAAGACATGTGATAACTGCTAGTAACATTTGGACGGCTTACATTGACCCTTAACTAAAGGCGAGAGGACGCGACGAAATCGCACACTGCGAAACTGAGCCGGTCGAGGGTAAGTCGTGGGGTCGAGATGGATGTAACTATAATTCTGCAAAGAGAAGAAGAATATCTTGTTTTTCAACTAAAAGGAGCCATCGGTATATCGCACTAAATTGGTCATTAACGTTCGTGTACATTTACGGAGACTATTGCATTGCCGCCCTAAGAAACATTGTTTTGTATTGTTTTGTAACCTCCCGTGACCAATCGCTTTGTTAAAACGTTTGTGCGCGCAACATCCGCATGAAGATTTATGGGTCACGAAAGTTATAAAAAATACACACGCACTTAGGTACATCAAAAGTCTGTTCATGAGCTGATCCTCTTCGAAAAACGGTTTTTCAATAGAAAACTACGAGAAGCTATTACGATAGTTCAGGCGTACGACAGTAAATCAGATTTACGTCTGTTTTTTTGCAATGGCAAATCAAATTTGAAACAGTTTTAAGGCAAGAGAAGGTGGAATTTTTATTCAGTGTAAGACTAACTAACAACGTTCGTAAGAACATTCTTCATAGTTACATGTACAGAGGGTGATTTTGCATTATGCTTCCACTTTATTTATGAATTTATTGCCATCCTCTCCGTGCATGTTTTATTCTGAGAACCGTTAAGTTTGAAAGCCCTTTCTCTTAGCGATCATAACAAATTTATTTAAAAAAACAGAAAACAATTTAGAATACGGTGGGATTTTGCAAAATGCAAACCGACAAGTGTCTGTGCCCAACACTGTAACAATTCGCAAAACGTTTTCCAATGCTTTCCATTAAAAATTTGCTAAAAAATCGTCATCAATTCATAATCTATGGGTGCCAGGTTTAATGAACTGTTATGTCAAGTGGCCTTCAGAAAACATCTGGCTTTGTTAGATTCTAGGCAATAGTACGTTGTGCTAGCTTCGTGAACTGGAAGATAACCATTTTGACTGTTCCCCTTGCGTTCCTCCCCGGGCTGCAAATCTAGATTGCTTTTCCTGAGAAGTTTTTTAAGCGACTTTGTAGTACAGGCATCTACGGTGGTTTTAACACGGGGAGGGATCACATGCACTGCATTGTTGTCTTGGTAAAATAATTTCGGTAAACAAACATCATTCGTTTTCGTTTTTTACCAAATTTTGATTTTTTGTTATTACGACACTTAAAAGTGGTAGCCCGGAATTTCGTATCTCCCGTCCGAATAAAGCAGCTACATCTACGCCTCATCGATTGCGACGGTCTATGTCAAATTCCGAAAAATAAGGAAATTGGCAAAAAAATTTCCTCGTCAAAAATTCGTTCCAGTTTGGAAAACTTGGCGTTCCGCTTTAAAACCACCTTTGAGTGCCACTTACTTCGTTTTTATTCAACTAATGATGAATTATGAAGCACATATTGAAGAATTTTAAGCGACAAGAAGTGAAGGAATGAACAAGGCAAGGAATTACTGCAACTTTGTGTCCGTTCTGGAAGCATATTGCGAAATCACCCTCTGTACGTATCTTACACGTATAATTTGGAGAAGGTCGTTTCATCATACCGTAGGAGTAAGATGTCTCTGAATATACTAAGGACGGCACGCTGCTTGCTTTTAGATTTTTTGCAATATGGTTATCCGTAACTCAACTGCATGTCACGCCCAAACAACTTTCCCACGAATCTGGCTGCAGCATGTGATAAAAATTTGGGGAAAGGGTTTGGGAGTTCACGAAAGCAGCAGTTCCCGTGCATGTACACAAATTATTACCATGTACATGCCGGCAATTCCCATTAAAACATTAACCCACATACCACACTTAATGGAATGTTTGGATCCATAATATGTGTTAGCGAGAAAACCAACCGTGTTCCAGGAATCTCACCATCACGAAATTCGTCACGAAATCGAACATTCTCACTCCTTATGGATTGTTGAAATACCAGCTGACCAGAATCTTCGGTGTACGTCACTGTCTACAATACGTCAAGTGGGTTTATGGCACCGGAAACTCAACAGCGGCGAACGACCTATTAAGCGCCGAAGTACTTGTTGTAAGCTGGCATTGTTGGCGTTATCGTTTGGAAAGACTGTGGTCCCGCGGAAATTGAGCGACAGCGTGCCAGCTGCGCATGAGCTCTCTTCGAAGACATCGTAGCCGCCCGAGGAATGTGGAAAAATGCGAATCCGGCGACGGGCCTGCCAAAATCCGCATTCGGCGGTTTCTGCAGACATCAATGAGCAAACGTTATTGCGACTGACCAAGGAGTCAATAACCATCGTTGCAAAGCAAAGCTCACCGCCAGGTTTTCTCCAGTCAAATACTTCTAGGTCTTTCAGCGAATAAGTCGGATTAGCGTGTGGTTGTTGATCAACTTCTTCGAATGTTCCATAGTAATTTGTAGCAGGTACGCGATAGTAAGACATGTGCGCGGTCTCCTTGCCCAAACTGGCAGTCTACAAAGGAACTTGTCAAAACAGTGTAGAATACTGACTACAAAAATATTTTAGCAGTATTTCGCTCACCAGTGACAGTGCCGCGGTTGTCTGATTATATGCGAATTCCATGGTCAAATTCTGCCTGGTGAGGGCGGTTGCTTTTGGCCGAATAATCAGTCTGATTCCAGATCGCGCCACTTGATCTGAGTCCGGCTATTGATTTGAAGGGTACACGACATCAACGGCAGTTACAATTTTGCTCTACGTAGTTAGTGTTGAACTCATAAAAAACCGGATCAAATTCGTATTACAGTGCTAACTAAAATGTACCATCAAATTTCCATATACGTAATGTATAATCAAACAATGGAGTTTTTGCAATTATTTGTGTAATTTTTCATATTCCTTTGCTAATGTATTACCCAGTATTGAGAGTTGATATCTTGATAGACGAATGGCGATGTTGTGTACAAACTCATAGAAAATTCACGGTAGCGACCAAACAAATCCCGATCAATGGCAATTGTGGCATTAATGTTGTCCCACATTTCGCTGACGTCAACCGCTATAAGGAGCGACACGTGAAAATATTCAGCGATCGATTACATAGTTTTGGTTTTGCACTCAGAATTCATTGACTTTACATCGCAAGAGCGACCCGACTTTCTCCAAATCGCCATGTTGTAAACGGTAGGCGCCAAAAATGCGTGCATCTAACGCCGGTTTATACAGTGCTCCGGGTTGGTCATTAAAACTCTGTAGAACAACTAGATTACTTTGCTAATTCGTTCTGGGCAAAATGTAAAATTGCACGCGATATCGTTTACCACGGAGACACCTCCTGCGGCCGGGCCAAAAGTTATCATGAGCTCCGCTGTAGTTGCCACGTTTCGGATAATGGCCTTCACATTTCCTCGGTTTCGGACAAAATCACCTGTAAATGGAAGCAAACGCTTAGATATGATCAGCTAGTGTGAAACTTACCAACGAGCCAATCATATTGACCCTTAACCCGATTATTGATAATGGCTGCGAAGCTGTTGTGATAGTGAAAGTATAGTAACTCGCTGAACTCAGTAATATTATGGTTTACCTGAAGTTGTGCCTTTCCCACGGTCTGCAAAGTATAGGCATCCAACTTAAATGGAATGCACACGACATATCGCTCACTCAACAGATTGTTGAACCGCGCGCAGTAACGACTAGCGATAGTTTTTTCCCGCTTTCTCAAAACTGAGCTCATTTCCCGTCAATAAATTCATGGGAGATGGAAGATCTGGACATTCAAAAACTTACAGTCTACAGACCTAACTTCCTACACATAGCTTATTAAACGTTTTATGAAGAAATAATTAAACTTAGTTTCCTGTACTACAGCGCCACATTCACTAGACAACTTGATCGAATGTAAGCGGCATAAGATACAAACACTTCCAAAATAAAACTTCAATTTATCATGGTCGCTTTGCTTAAAGAAATAAATGCGTAAACACCTATATTTCTCAATTATACTCGTATGCATGATACTGCATATCACTATACGTGCCCACGTCAATATTCAGTAATCCGCGAACATGGTTGATCTTGTCCTCTCCATTGGCAAAGTTCCCGAGTAGTGGTTCCGGTAACTCATATCCATAGCTGATAAGCTGCTGAACTTCGAACGACCGATGTGGCAACGGAAGCTGGACGAAATGGTTTTGGTGTTCAGTTTGTATAAATGCACTTTATCACGATGCTGAGTGCTGACGAACAAAAAGTTTTGGTATATCTACTAACCGGCCAGCATCCATGTATATGTCCTGGTAACAGCTTGCATTTCCCTCAATTAAAAACAGATGACTGCTAATTGTTTATCCTGCGTTCTGAGGATTTACAGTACATTGGAGGATACACATTCAGTCATTTCTGCACAGCAATTTTCAGTATCTATCTGATTCGGCGTATGTCGGCGTCTTACAATGCCATTGCTCACACCAAAGAGGTGTCCTCTCTACTACACAATATTTTGCACCTTGAACTGTATAATAATTTTGAATCTGATCGCGGCTTATAAGTTGTCTGAATCATTACTCGAGTAATCATGAATTGCGGATAACATCAGTTGTATTTAATAGTGCTTACCAGTAACAGCCTACAGGTTGCAGTCCTTACTGGCTACTCCACGATGTTGCCGATATCTTAACTACGAGTATAGTGGCAAACGATAATATAGTTACAGACGCCGCCAGTTTGGCCACAAAGGATTAGGGCATTGCGATGCTGCTCATCTAACAAAGACTGCAGAAACTACTGTAAAATACTTAGTACTGTATGTTCCCGAAATTTAAAACCAGTTTTTGCCGCACTATGATACTTATATAACGTTCGCCTTTGAGTCATCGGTTATGTTTGTGCCGTTTGCAAAGCTCAAATTCCAATACCAGCTGATCAACATCAAGAAAATAGCATTAGTACTTCGCTATTTCTCATATTCCGGTCACTTTGAGTGCTTGGTTTCATATTCCGGTCACTCTGCGTGCACTCAAAGTGACCTCACTTACAGCGCATGCGTGCAACTGAGTGACCGGAATATGAAACCAAACACTCAAAGTGACCGGAATATGAGAAATAGCGAAGTAGCAAGAAAAGCGTGGGCTTAGCGGAAAAATTCGGCAAAAAAATTGTCCAAAAATAACGTGGAAAAGAACTGCGCCAGCAAGCGATGTTTATTTACCCGCGAAAACTGGGATGAATTTGTATTAAAAGCAACTGGAAAGAGGTATCTACTAAATCGGAGTCCAAAGGGGTCAAGGCTGTTTCCTCTTTCACTCCGACGCTCTTCTCATTCCGGACATTGCACAATATGGATTCGCGTACCGGACGCCAGAAACACGATATCCTCTGCGTTGCTCCTCATGGCAAGAAGCTGTGGACGCAGCAAAATTATCGTAAGAAACTGACAAAATAGGCAAATTACTTCCCAGTTTCAACTAGTAACCGTCGTCCAAGCTGCCCAGTGACAAACTCATTCGACCTCCGCGTTACTGCTAGCGACGCGCAGTTCTCTTAATATATGTTTGTTTTCAAAAGAAATGGTTCGTCAGTTCCGTATGAAATGATGAAACTAATTATACCTACATTGATGTACGCAACAGATCATCAGTATCATTGTCCAGCAAAGATGTTATTAAAGAACTGAGAGGCCCAACACAATTTACGCAAAGCATGTACACATTAACTCTGAATCGCAAGCAAATGCTTCAGTACGAGGAGGCTTTAAGTCACGTCGCCAGTTCACTCATTTCATCGAGATAAATTGGCTCGCCAATGATTGGCGACGTGACTTAACTTCAGGCCTCCTTGGAGTCCTTGCATAGATGATATTCAAAGAGCAGGCGTGGAAGTCAGAAAAACTTTGAAACACTTATGGTTAGGAATTACAGGTACTGCCAGTAAACACATTGCCCAATGTAAATTGCAGCCGCCGAACTATTCTTTACACAAAACCAACCACGGTGTGCCACCTCCGAATGATCATTTTTCCACATTCTGTGCCGCATTCTCCACAGCTGGCCATGTAAAAATATTCTTTATTGCCGCTTTTTGAAAACCGTCCGTATGTCGGAGATAATGCTGGTCGATAACAGCGGATCGAGGAGGGACTGGATGATCCACAAAACATCGAGGGCGGCTGATACGTCATCATTTACCATCCGGCCCAGGATTTGCAGCAACTGGCAGACCTGGAAGGGCGTCCAGGTGATTAATACACTGCAGGTCAGCAATGTCAGGATAAAGAAGGCCCGGTTGTTCTGCCGGCGCGCTTTTTTAAGGGCTGCGGGAGGCTCACTACTTGTCCCATCCTCTGTCGGGCGCGGCTGTACCTCCATTTCCGGTCCACCGGGACGGGTTTTCTTACGCATCCGCTGCATGACAACGAGATACACGTAGGCTACCGCCACAAAGATGATCGGAAGCAGGTATAAAAAGGTATGCACCGCCAACTGCCACGACCGCTGAGCTTCGCCGTTGACCTCGCATTCTTTCTCCATTATCCGGTAATGAAGGGAATCCAAGACGAGGCCAGGCACGGTCCATATGTGAACGTAAATGAGTGCGCCAGCCGTGAGGCAAATGCTAGTAGCGATGGTATGCCGCTGGCGGTAAGAATAGAGAAAGGTCAGCGCCCAAAGCCGGTTAAGGGTGATGAGAAGGTGAGCATGCATCTCCCAGCCGGCAAAAACGTAGTTACAGTATAAGAAAAAATCGCAGGCTGCCCACGAAAGCGTCCACCGATCACAGGATAACTCGAATAGGATATCCATGGGATTCTTCCATGATGGCCATAGCCAGGTTGGCTAGGAGGAGAATGGCGATGTACGGTTTGAATGAAGCACTGACTGAGGTGGTACGGTAGAGACTGGCGAGGCCGGCAGCGTTACAAGCAACTACTGCCACCATGGCAGCAATCTCGATGGCAGCCAGCGGATCGTCCCAGTAACCGTAGTGGAGACAGGCAGCATCCAGGATATTATTGTCGGTGGTGTTCAAGCAATACGCAGTTGTCGCATTGCTGCAATTTCGGCTATCCATTGTTTATCTTCGATCGCGTCGCACAGATATTCCTTCTAATGTTGCCCATGCAAAGACGCTAAGCTGTACCGGGAACTGCAGAATGCCTGGCCAGGGAGACTTGTCAGTCATTGCAAAATAATACGGTTCACGAGCTTAGCACGTATGTGAATCTTCTGTGTGCTCACGTTGTTTCAAACTAACTGGCCATACTGTACGCATCCCGTTTGGCGTCAATCTATCGAATTTCTCGTTCCGAACAATAATCTCGTATTACTGCTTCCGGTCTATTTTTGGCTTGTCTCACTCGACAAATCTTGTGCGGATGCTAATTACTCCGTGAAAGAAGTAGTCAGGACACCGCTGCGTTTCGGTATCAGTGCGTGAAGTAATGACGCACTCACTCGCATCCTTCATTTACCGTCTGCTGCTCCTCTAATCATGACTAGTGTGACAGTGCTGCCAGATCTGCCTTCTGTAAGTTCTCTATTTTACCAGCTACCAGGTACCATCACGGTCTGGTTAAAGCTGCATCGACAGCGATGCACATACTATGTGTCGAGCGCCAGCTATCGGGGGAATACTTTCCCCCGATAGCTGGCGCTCGACACAAGTATGGGTCAAAGTAATTGACGCCTGACGGCCCTCCGCCTCCATGTGACTATGCCAGCTTAATTACGGTCTTAAATAATTCAAGCCAGCAAAATCAGTTCACTTTGTTTTTCTCCAGCACTAAAATTGTCCAAAGTTCAAAGTATATTAAGTCCAAAGTATATTTGTACTTCTATTGTTCGTTTTTTTGCCAACTGCTTATCATTCTGCAGTTTTTATTTTTTTATTTGTTTTTTTTTATTTGTTTTTGTATTTTTTATTTACATTTGGGTAAAATTTTTACTTTACGGTGATTAATTCTAGTAAATCAAAACCAATTAAGAAATTGGTTACTAATTTTTTATTAACTAAAATCGGTGATTTTAATTGGTGATAATTCCTCGTTTTTATATAGCAAATTCGGATGGCTTCGCTGATCTCTAAATTTTCGTAACTTTGTTGTCTGGTAAATTTATTTGTTGTTCCTTGTTGCATTCGGTTCGGAAATAAACGTTTCTACTGGTATAAAATTACCTGTATAGTATTATAAATTAATTTTTATATGGGCCCATGCGGGCAAACTGAAATGGTGGGTGGACGGAACGTGAAGGTGTATTCTGTAAGCGGTCGGAACGCGAGTTAAAGCGAAGTACTGTACGTACATGTATATGATAGTGGACGACTACCGAACTTGCACGAGATACTGTACATACTCGATTACCTGTTTCCATAACTTTATTTCTAGTTTCTCAGTAATTAACTGAACTCGCATAAAATTATTGTGTACAAAAAACCAGATCATCATAACATCACGACATCACGACCGAATACCGATGACGGCTTTCAACACGTGGAGTACTTCTAGCAGTCCCTTCACGCTTGTCTAGGAACGCTTGCGGTGGACTTTACGTTTAACTGCCGAGGCAACATTGGGACTGCCACCGACAGACGCATTGTCTCCTGATGCCATCTTGTTAGCTGGTGCGTACGCAGCGTACGTGGTTGTCGACGGCTGGGGAGAAGGCGTCGATGTCTGTGGAGTCACATAGGCCGTGGTGGTCACCACTGGAGTAGTGGTGGTTACGGGCACGGGTGATGGTGTTGTGGTGACAGGGCTCGGAGTGACATACGCTGTCGTTACGATGACCTGCGGTGTGGTGGTGGTGGCAGGGCTGTAAGTCGTAGTGGTTGGTGTTGTCGTTGTTGTCGTTGGCGTAGTGGTAGTATACGTTGTGGTTGTTGGCGTTGTCGTCGTGGTGGTGGTTGTTGGCGTTGTGGTAGTGTAAGTTGTAGTCGTCGGTGTTGTCGTTGTAGACGTTGACGTAGTGGTAGTATATGCTGTGGTTGTTGGTGTGGTCGTCGTGGTGGTTGTTGTTGGCGTTGTGGTAGTGTAAGTTGTAGTCGTCGGTGTTGTCGTTGTAGGCGTTGACGTAGTGGTAGTATATGCTGTGGTTGTTGGTGTGGTCGTCGTGGTGGTTGTTGTTGGCGTTGTCGTCGTAGTCGTTGGCGTGGTAGTAGTGTAAGTTGTAGTTGTTGGCGTGGTTGTCGTGGCGGTGGTTGTTGGCGTTGTGGTGGTTGGCGTAGTGGTAGTATAAGCTGTGGTTGCTGGCGTGGTCGTTGTAGTGGTGGTTGTTGGCGTTGTGGTAGTATAAGTTGTGGTTGTCGGTGTAGTCGTTGGTGTAGTGGTAGTATAAGTGGTGGTTGTTGTTGGTGTGGTCGTGGTGGTGGTTGGCGTTGTGGTGCTATAGGTCGTAGTTGTTGGTGTTGTCGTCGTGCTGGTGGTCGTAGTGTATGTGGTAGTAGTGGGCGTCGTAGTGGTCATAGTTGTCGGGGTGGTGGTGCTAGTGGTGGTCGAGTAGGTTGTTGTAGTGGGTGTGGTGGTGGGGGTTGTCGTCGCTGTCGGGGTAGTGTACCTCGTTGCCAGCGGGGTAGTGGCGGTGGTGGTCGGCACGTACGTTGTTGTGGTAGGGGTGGTAGTGGTTGGTGTCGTGGTGTCATAAAGGGTGGTAGTAGGTGACGGGGGGACCGGGGTTGTCGTGCTAGCTGGTGGCGCTGGAGCATAGCCAGTGGTCGAGGGAGGATTTGATGGTGGTGTCATACTGGTGGTGTCATAACTGTATGATCCCGCCGACGGAGCTACGGCCTGCTTGACGCTGACTTTCATGGCCGAATTGGCGGTTGGGAGGGGCACTATTTACCAAGCGCAAAAATTGGTTAAGTAACCTTAGCATGTGGCGCCATCATATCAAACATCTTAATATTCGTGGTTCTAATTGACAGATTGAAGAATTTCCCGGTGGGTAAAGGTCCTCTGTAGAAGATGGCGATCAGTACAGTAACTATGTACACACTGACGTTGTTACTGGTGCTATACTTATCTTATATCTGTAATATTATGCTGGTCTGCTGCAACAAAAATAATATATTATACTACCTTTTGACACTTTGTATATTGGCGATATAGCGCCTTAAATTGCTGTGTAAGAATAACTTATAGGACAGCTGTGTAGGAATAACTTATAGTTTTAATTGCTGTGTAAGAATAACTTATAATTTTATTGTAATCCACGAGACTTACCATAACAACACCAGGCGCCATCGAAACCCATACAGTCCACTCGGGATGCACTGACTTCCTTGTCTGAACATTTGGCGTCAAGGTCGTCAAGGCTAACGCAAATACCATTTCTCCCAATCGCTTTCCATCCATCCGGGGTGCACTTTACGTCATCTTGTGCTGCAAAATCCCATATAAATAGGATTGGCATACAATAATACAAAAGAAATTCTTCTGTGCCACCGACCATAAAACCAATGATACAGTAAAAGGACCTGGGACATAAGACTTCAGAAACTGTTCTCGTGAAGATGGCCTAGTACATTATGCATGCTATCTCAGCAGAACTGAACGGTGTACAGTACATAAAATTATGGCACTCGCTCAAGAAAATGTGACATGATAATGTAAATGTTTCTGTACGAGTGCACAGTAATTTGTAAGGCCATCAAACTGGACCCTGCTGGTGCAGCTTAATAACGCATCTTCCCACGATATGCCAGGTATTATCCGTGGGAATTGCATTACGGCTGTCTGGCCGAGTATCAGCAACCGGTTTATTACGGAAACGAATGTTACAGATATACCCAGGCGAAGCCAGTTTGGTGCACAAAATTGACAAAATGTAGTATGAACTAGGAAGAGGTGCATTCGCTTTCAAAAGCTTGATCATGCTAAACGTTCACTGGCTGCACATAAGGCAGACGTACGTCACGTACGAGTACTGTACTTAAAGTTTTCCGATAAAATTGATGCTAACTGGATTACAGCGATAACACGAAATGCTGCTAATGCCGATAATATTGACGATAATACGAAATTAAATACTGACTTAATCAGAAAAACGTTAAAGTGGGAAAAAAATTTTTACAGTAAACTGGTACTATAACACGCCTTTTAAGGTATAACGAACACAAAATTAAGTTGCTTAGACATTTAGATTAGATGGGAATTAAATGCTCTTACCGGCAGCACATCCAGTGATCAGCAATAACGCGACAATTTTCCCTGAAATCATGGCAAATCAGATTAGTTCCGCAGATGGGTGAATTTAAAGGACTGAATGTAATATAAGTGTTTCCTCTTCACAATTAATGATATGTTGTGCTAATGAAAAGATCCACAACATTTTAAAAAATTTTTGAGCGAGATTATATACGGGTTGAGCAAATTTTATCAAATTAGCAGTATTGCTCGCTATGCACTTGTCAATCTACGAACGAGCGAATTCTTGTGCTGCCATTACTTTCTGTACATTCACATTATTTTCTGATGCACATCTGACGATATCACGACAACATTAAGTTTTCATCATTAGCGCTTATTATGTTCACGCGTGCATTTCATTTGTCTTGCTGCTTGTGGAACTGTTTGCAGTGACAAAAGTGGATCGACGGAAAAGTACAGCTTTTATTAACTAATGGCAGCTTTTTAAAACAATCTTCTCCGTCCAGATAGTGTAATGCGAAAACTACTGCAGCGATTACGCTGTCATAAAAACATTTCATATGAACCCAGGTTTTAATTGGTGGCAATGAAAACTACGCCAGCATCAATCACGTAAATCACATATTTATTATGTACTGCTGATGCATCTTTAATTGACACCTACGCAAAGATTAACACTGTATTACAGCATTTTCTAGTTAAGGTCACCTGATATTACCATAAAACAGAAATCAGTTTTCTTAAAATGTGCGTGCCTCGGTTAGGTGCACAACTTTCTATATGCCGGGCATTATTAATCTGCAAATAAATGGTATACTGGGATTTTCTAAATTGTTAGAAGGAGACATTTGCCATTACCATAGATTTCAGTAGTACTGCCAGCGCCGCACTGCATTAGTACCCGCTGAATTATTTAATTACAACTAAGTGAACACTAATGTACAGCGACACCGGTATCACTGAACTATAATCATGGATGGTATTGGATGCTATATTTTAAGTTTTTAAAATGACTGACCTTGATCAGGTAAATGAGAACTTCAAGTCTTCAACCTTGCTTTGAAAGCTAACCGTAATATACCGCAATTCGACGGGGCGTCAACTTATGCGCGTATTTTGATATAGAAGTATGCAAATGGCCGAGTCGTATATAGGGGGAAAAAGTAAACGTGTTTCACCGTTTCCCTAGTACTGCTGTCGTCACCCGCTTGGAGTGTGACGTTATGGCTGAACATGGCGCTTATGTACCGCGCCAGATTTCGTCATATGTATGGCGGTAACGTCACACTCCAGTCGGGTGACGGCAGCAATACAGGGGAACGACGGAACACATCTAGTTTTCCCCCTCTATAGACACTGGTGGTGGTTGTTAAGCTCATCCAAGGTCCCGAATATCACGTTCCCTCTCGTCTCACCGACTCTCACGCATACCAGCTTAGCTGATATTACGAGCAAAAAATTGAAAAAATTTTAAAAAACTGCAGAATCAGGGAGAATAAGCGTTTTGGATACGCGTCTTCTTCAAATAAGTTTCAAAGTAACGTCATTATTATTAACATAATGTGTGATGTTGCACATATGGTAACACAGTGCCCAAATGAGGTTTTGTAAAGGCAATCAAGATTAACTGTTGCACAAATTTTCAGTTTAAATTGTGCCATTGCGTTTTAAACTTCCTCTGCCTTCTTACTGAGAGAAGCCCAGGTTTGTCAATTTGAACATTCGGTGACTGCAGATTTGTACCTGGGACATTACGGGCAATTTACGCCGAAATTAAGGTACATGCATTTGGATAGATAGCAGCTGATATTCTAGAAACTAACATTTTTCTTTATCTTATATACGCAAATTTATTTGTATTTCAGACAAAATAAAACATAAGTTTCTATATCTGTTTATTGGCAGATATCTTCGCGCGCTGACCGTGACTCGTGATTGCATTTCCAACGTTGGTTCATGATTAATTGGCAACAACATGATTTATCACACATTTTAAGTGTTTTAGTCATACTGTTCACACTAAAATTCGCGCATTGTCTTAAAGACAATGTGCAGTTGACAATACTAAGCACGTTGGCCCCGAGTGTTGAAAGCGTGCCGCCGTTACAGTCAATTAATGATCTTTCGTGTTATGATTCCATAATTTTTGTTTTTTTTGTCAAGAACTTGACGCGCACAATTTGTCTCCGTCGGGCTACCGTCACAATTTTTAACCATCGATCGAAAAGTCAGTTAAAGCATAGAACTGCCTGCTCTGGCGGAATCAGAAAAATTCCCTTGTCTGTTTTCCACGGTGCGTCATACCCGTTAAGAGAAAGAGCTAATTGTAAACAATTATGGATCTGACATATTTAGTGTTCTACTGCATGTTAAACATTACGATGCGCTACCTCACCCGTTCGAACGTTAAATAAATTTCACAGCAGCAAATACATACAGGGTAACAAAGGCATCTATAAAGCTGGGACAACAACGACATGCACTTTTAAATTTTTCAAAGAATCAGATTGTACTTATTCTTAAACTGAATCACTACACCTCTAGGATTTTTTGAAATTTTAAAATGAATTATAAAATTTGTAAATTTAATATGACAAAAATGTAATTCCGGTTTGGTGTATGGTCAGTCTTCCTACTAATAGATATTAGTTTCAAAATTTGAAAAAGATCAGTGCATAATGAGTCTGGGTACACGCGGTAATTTTTAAGTTGTTTTTAAGTTTCTTGAAGTCTCTTCCAGCCATGTTTCTCCAACCGGATGTGGCGAGCACAAACCATCTTCCCGGCTCACAAACTACAGTATCTCCACGGCTGTGTATAAAAACTAATTTGATTACCCAATATCATAAAACAGATGTATATGAAAATACATGATTATGTATATGAAAGTGATACATGATGTATGATGTATATATGATGTAAAACAATATTAAACTATCGATTTTGGTAACCATATGGATGTGTATGTATACATGACGTATATATATATAGAATATGAACATACTTCATGTATATTATAGAATTACAGAATTTACAAGACATCATGTATATTACAGGATAACATATGTATTAATTATTGGCACCAATTTTCGCACCGTGTTTATAATAGGCAGTCTCTCTAAGCAGTGACGGTAATTTTGTAATACTTAATAATAATATGTACAATTTTGCGTTTCGATAGCCCGTCACAGTCCCATAATGCAAATTTTGATTTTAATTTTAAAATTTCAGAGAAATACTATGACCAATCAACGTGGGTTTCTTTTAAAACTGTCTGCATTTTTATTTACAGTAACTTCTTGGTTTGTTACAGAAGCCTTTCACATGCTCGATCAGTAACTACACTGTAAGTTACGGAAGTGCGCTTACACTCTTTGCCATTTCGGTTAGCCGTATTTTCACAGACCGTATATGTATTGCGCGCAGAAACGATTAATTTCAGGGTCGCACATGCAGACCGTTTGCTTGAACGGGATAATGATACTTGTATACAACAACAATTAGACGTACTTTTATAAAATTTTGATGCCTGAATGTGTATGCGGAATTTACAAATTCAGTGTCGGCCGTGAACTTGCGACCAGCCATTCCCAATCTATGTTACATGTTCAAAAGCGCGCCGTGGTGCGGCGAAGTATGAAGTTGAGCGCTAGCCGTGAATTTGTAATTTCGCTGCACTTACGTAATATGTATGCTCAAGTACTCATCCGGCGTGTACTGTAGAGCCAAAAGCGTCCTGCAACCGAACATACTGCATGACAGTCGAGTGTACGCCCCTCAACACGGGACTAAACGGCTGCATGCTCTTGCTTATGCCGCTATTCTATCGATTTTTTAGGAATAGGGAATATATAGGATACTCCGCGGCATGAGCATTCCACCGGAGCTACTTGTGAGCAACACAGCACAGTGATATGTGAACTTGCTGTATTGTACAAGTACAAAGTACGTCATGTTATCAACACAGTGTTTCTTCGAAATATTATAATTTTCATTTCTTTCACATTATTGAGCAATGAAGGTTTTGTTGGTCCAACTTTATTTGCGCTACCTAACTCCGATATCACATTAACCATTTTCTTTACCGCAACTGTGCACTTAAAATGCAGAAGCCGCTTTGCTTCCTTCAGTTTCTTTTGAACAGAAACGCAGTATGGTGGTATTCCGATATTGTGGCGGAAGCACTACTAGTCACATGGTTAGCCAGCCAAGTCTGCATTTATACATCAGCACGTTTCTTCCCGCAATGGCATTCCACTCGTGCCGATCCGGATGCAAAAGTCATGGATATGGCGCAGTCATTGCTGGGATATGTAAGAATTCTGCATTTTTATCCTGTCAATGAAGTTCAACATAAGGAAACTGCTGTGAAATGAGCAACATTTTCTCGGCACTTTCTGTTCACAGGAAACGGATGGGTGTTTTTGGGATCTGATTTGTTCGTATTGGACCGAGCTAGATATACCTGTGTGCCGCAATGAATCGTTCGTGCCACTTCCACCCTCCCATGCTGACAGCAGCATTGGCTTCATTGGTGTTTGCACCGCACTGTCGACCACAGGCATTTTAATTCTATCCTTGGTGTGCTTTGCATTTGTCAACCGCTACTGGCTGCCCCCACGGGCGGACAACAAGCATGTGGTGTGGTTTCATAAGTTTATACCAATTTGGCCGGCCCTTAACAAATCTTCTGCAGTCACCGGTAAACCTATGTTTCTGCTGAGATGGCTTCCTAAGGAAATTAAATAAATAATTTGATTTTAAACAATACAGTTACTTTAATTATTTTTGCATTTAATTTTGTCAGGATTTTGAGTAAATTTATTACACAGATTTAGCTTACTAAATTGCAAATGTACTTTGTATATGTAAAAGTGTATATATGCGCTAAGGGTTTTCCATTTGTTTGACAGTACTGCTTTACACAATACAAGTACTACGAGTTTTAACATTAAGCGTTTTCAACACCGAAAACAAAAATTTGCGCACATATGTAAAGCATTGTTTTACGCGCATGTGACGAGCATTGCTTTGCGCTAAAAGCATTGTTTAAAATTCAGTTAACTCAAGCTAAAAATTGTATGCTACTGTGCCTGTTTTTGATTTGGTTATCTTAAGAAAAAAATTAATTTGCCGCCTTGATTCTCCCTGCATTTGATAGTGTACTCTGTACACTGTGCTGTTAGTACTGTTGCTATTAGTTAAAATGCAGGCAAAAATCTAAGCGGTTATAATCTAATAGACCGCCATTATGTTTATTTAGGCTCCGTACCCAACAAACCTCCACCGCGAGGAGCTGTTGTTTTTTGCTCACTCATTACAGCGATGATGGCAGGTTGCGCTGGATTCTACTTTGGGAAACTGGTCGCACTTACGCCGGTGATGCTTGTTGCCACCATTGCCCGCTTATTAGTTAATCAATACGGTGAAAGCGTGGCGCTTCCATGCTACATCGTATTCACTACCATCACATCCCTGTACTGCACCGGGAGAATCTGGGGCATGTGGATGCAAATGTCATATATCGGGTGGATTGTGGACAAATTACGGTAATTAAAAAAATAATAATTTTGGTAACTTGTTTCTTGAACCACTATTTTGCTCGAACTCCAGACGTTTATACCATGTATTCTCTATTTATGTATCTTGACAGAAAGCTCGGCATTCGGATCATTGTGGACGATCCAGTTAATGATGAGTCAGCGCAAGCAAAAAGCGGCCCCAGTGCCAACGCCACTCAGCAGGGAAAGACAATGCCGTCGTCCCGAATACATTCCTTTATGAGCGCGGCGCTCCTCTATTTTGGATCGTGTGGCATGGTCTTGAACATGATTGCCATCATAGGCACGGCATTCCCCATGGTGCTTCCAGGGTCCGTTCCTAGCACATACTCTGTGAATGAATCTGCGAACAAAACGGTAAATTTAATTAGGTGACCACTCGGCGCACAACTTTTATAAACTTCTACTCGATTGCTTTTACTTTATCTTTCGCACAACCTCTCACTCCGTACATTATTTTCTGCGGCACCGTTTTAAATCCGCTTTTTAATCCGTCAACTGTGTTTACGGGCCAAACGGATTCCTTTGGCTTCTTTCTTAATCACCGTTTTTTTCCCTTTGGTGTAAAATAATTTTGATCCAAGTTCTGTAAATACAGAGTGTACTTTATAAAGTTTTGTATGTACGACAACGTTTTGTATGTAGTTTTGTTGTGTATTTCTTTGAAAAGTGCTGCTGCTGGTTCGCACACAGTAGCGCACAAAATAGCTATTTTGTTGTCTCTGCAGTGGTTTTGAACCTGTAGCTATTTTGTTGTCTCTGCAGTAGTGATCAACAATTAATTCCTGTGCGGTGGTTATGGCCGAATAGGGTTAATGGGCATGAATCCGCATGATGTACAACAAATCAAAGTAAATTTTAAGACTTAGTATCGTCCAAGGTGAGCTGGCAAAGGCTGTACTTGCATTTTTAGGTGTTGAACTACCAAGCGGCGAAATTATCGTACTGGATGGATGTACGCACCTTTCTGAACGGTACCGACCCAGCGGATTACGGTATCGCGGATGTACCAGCAGCTACCGGCATACTGTTTTCAGTATGGACCGGAACACTCACAGTTGTTAATCTTATCCCGTACACAGCGGCGGCAATCTACGTAATTTGCCTGTACGTCAGTTGCTTCTGTCAATCATGTTCTAAGAACTCTGCAGCGAGAAGCACCACGTCTGCCTCGTAAGTCAGCTGTCACTTACTGTAACACGTACCGTGCAGGGGCAAACATCTACATCCTACTTTTCTGATACAGGGTGAGCACTGGCGATGACGAAGAATGCTGTTGCGAGCCGTTAATCAGCGGCATGAATTACGCAGGATTCATGCTGGTCCTGGTCGCCCTTCTCACGATTCTACCGCAGTCCATCATGGAATTCTTCCTACCAGAAAGATATCAGTTTCCGGGTACCTTGTTACTGCTGAGCGTCTTGACCGTATGGTTGTACTATCAGTTCATACGGTCCGTTCGAAAATGCTGTACCACCCAGAACGATGCCAAAAGGAGCGAAGTACAATCCGATGATGTCGAGGCCTGTCTAAGTCTTACCACCGAACACTGACGACTACTTAACTCGTAAAACATGACAACAATTGTCATAATGCATTTTTTGTGTACTAGTGTTATATCAAACATGAGTAATTTTGTGCGCTAATTTTCGTGCTGTCAGTATTCAGTTTCTTCACCGAACTGTGTACTACGTATTATGAACTGTAGTTTTTAGCCGAGCTATTTCTGTTTTACGGCGAAATCGAACTGCTTCCCTTCGTTCCATGTCATGCATCGCCGGCTTATCAGAAGCAGCGAAATTTCCATCTACCAGATCTTCAATCTTTCAGATTCTTTTGTTGCCAGATTTCGTCGCCTGAGCTGCATGCTTTTTCCTTTTGCCCCGCAGCTTCAACTGCGGTGGCCTTTGATGTGTTGTATAAGAGAGGGGGATATAAAGGTCAAAAGGTGCAGTGCGTTTTTGTTCAGTTTCCGTTTTTGTTCGCTCAGGGATGAGCTAGCACTTCATCCCCTGTTTCACATGGTTACAAATTAATAAATTGGCAATGTCGCTAACTCGTACGTAACCTTTTGACTTGGCGAAAAACTCTCGCGCGTAGTCAAACCTCTACACGCGCGATGTTCTAGCGCGTTGCCATTTATTTTCGTAATGATAAATACGTGAACGTGTCTGTACATTTGATTAAGTTAAAACTGGAGTGAAAAGGCTCTTCCAGTACTGTACTGCTACCCTGCACTTGTCCATTTATTTTGCAGTGCAAGCGCACGTACGTTGTATGAGCGCTGTTCACGATTCACACACACGGCCTGCAACTGCGTGCAGACTGCAGGCACCTGACTGAACGTGAGCGGCTTTAGCTCTCACTCGCCTACAGTACAGTGGGCTCATACCGTACAAAAGTATGGACAAGTGCAGGGTAGCAGTACAGTAACTTACTAACTTCTTGGAGTTGTGAGTATTTGTTTTCATTAATGCTAGTGCACTGAAAGAGTAAACACGGGTTGCGACTCGGGAGGGAAGATAAAGCAGATCTTGGGAGCTTCCCAATGGACCTGCGCCCTTATGCTCCGGTCAAAACAATATAAGTAATGCACTGCTCAACGTTCACTATTCGATGTCGGAATGATATCTCTTAAATGCGCATACAGCAAAACCTCTCAATGAAATAAGGGCACGTTTTAGTGGTTGAGTATGCATGCGATTTCAGTTTAAGTTCGGGACATTCATTTTACTGCATATCTTTTCACTGTGCTTTTTAGGGTTTTGCCGACATTGTACATGATGGGCTTTTCAACTGCCTTTGCTGTTCCCGATTTGTTCACAACTGTGCTGCCGATAATGCAGTTGTTAGGCTCGTGGGATCACCACCAGACTCCACCACATCACGTTCTGAAAACCCTGATTAGCTGCGTATGGTACAGTACGATTTTCATTGCGAACTGCTTTATGTCGGGGGCAACCTATAACTTATTCCTCAAAATACCTTCCCTCACTGCTTCACCCAGCGAAGTTGTCGAAGCTGCCACAAAGTTCATGTACTGTCTGATCTTGCCAGCGTAGTACGCTGGTGCAGTATGGGGTTTCCGCAATCTGCGACCTCATCTGGCCCTCTCTCACAATTTGTTAGTAAAATCCCTGGAACCGCGAGATAAAGCGGCAATCACATGTTTGATAGCTGCATTTGCCGTTTTCTTTAGTTTCGTCCATCAGTTCGGTGGAGAAGTGCATTACGGTCGCTTATCGGTCGCTGGTTGGATACACTGGTGCTCCGCTTGTCCATGGCAACAATACAGTATCCTTTTGGTACACCGTAGCGGGTGCTTTACCGCAGATTGGTATGGTACCAATCTTAAACGTCAGAATAATGGAGCTTTATTTTTCGGCTTGGTCGCTGTCTATGGGCGTGTTTTTCCGTCGGTTGGGACGCTTAGCACGTAAGTGTCTTACAAAGGAGATCGTTCGGGATCATAATAATAAAAAAAATAATAATGGAAGTTTATTGTCCTTTGCACGGAGCATTTGCCCCCTCTAGGCTACAGACAACAGTCGTGAAACGACATACTGACATAGCAATCTAACATTGAAAAGTGCAAAACAAAACACAAAGCATTCTTCAGCAAAAACACGAAAACATCAGTTTAGTACTTCTGATCAGCTGCAGTAACATTAAGAGACAAGAAGAGACATAAAGATGGCAATTAGTTTTTTTTTTTCTCGGTTGCGATAAGTTGACGCTATCGTGTGCAAAAAAGGGAGGGAGACGATCGCGCTGGGGTCGATGCATAAAACCAAAACTCACGTACAGTTAAATTAATTCAAATTTTCAAAAAGCATTTTCAAAAGAAATCGTGGGAAAAAGGAAAGCAAGGACACTTACGCACGTAATCGCCTTTCTGTACTTTTCAACTAGGTCGCAACCGTTTATGCATAGAAGTAGCAGTACATACTTAATAAAGGACCCATTGACCACAACCAAGAGAAAGAAAAAAGCGCAGATAAGCGTTATTTAGAGTAAAAACTGGCTTTAAAGATTTCGACCGATGGCAGCTCATATAACTTCACGGTTTCAAGGGCTTCTGAAAAGGCTTTTAATGTGACATAGGCTGTCGGCTGCAAAGGAAGCTCGTTCCAGATGGAGGCGAGGGTGTTTACATAGGACTGGTGGTCAGTAGTCACCGTTATCCCACAAAAGGTCGTCGCGGCAGGTTTTATAGGACATCGATGTTTCATCATGCGCAGATGAGAGGCTTGCTGGTAACGGTCGCTGAGGAAACCCAGCTGAGCACAATGTTTCACGTAACAGTGGCCTTCTTGACCCTTTTGGGTTCAGTGAGCGCTGCTCGATCCTCGAGATAAAGCGGCAATCTTAGTTGGAGGGTACATATTTCTTCACTCCACTAGGTTTCGAAACTCTTGGGCCATGGGGGAAGCTAGCCAATACTCTTAGTGAAAGAAATCGGAAAACGACTTCAGCTACACACGGTGAACCTTGCTCCCATGAATTCCTCCGCCAACGGTTGTCACTAGAAGTTCAGCGGGGCAACGCAGCTTCAGTACTCGGAACAGTGGATGGAGCGGCAGCTGTAACTGAAATTTTGTTGTTGTGATTTTTCCTTTTCAACCTTTATTGTACTCGCGTTTATGAAATAAAAACATCACATCAAAAAATTTACGTACAGTAATTTATTGTTTCTTTCAACGGGAGAGTGTTCCCTAATACTGGATGTCGACAACCAAGTGTTAAATAAACCAGAACATTAAAGGTTAGAATACCAACGATATGCAAGTAGTTAAATGCAGTAAAGCACAGTAATGTCTAAGCAAAGTATGGCCAGGTCATAGGGTTGAATGTAAGAAGAAAACGACAAAAACCTTTAATTTTGATTATTATAAACACCAACCGTGTCCGCCATATTGCAATATCGTCTGATGCACTGAAGTTTAGTTTAGTTTAGGCTTCAAAGACGATGAGCCGTTGTAATGCACGTTTCGTAACAAAACTGGTTATATTATTTATATATATATAGTAAAAGGGCGTCCCTAGTGACAGTCTAATCGCCGTTCCAGACTTTACTGGGTCATTTTTAGTAAAGGTACTTTACTAGGTATCTGGATCCCTGTGGACTTTGTTATTGCTGTCCCCAAGGCTTTACATATCGGTGTGCACGTTACAGGGTCCTTATTTCGTTCGGCTTGAACAACTTGGGCGCAGTGACTAATTGTCGCAACTTACGAATGTACTTGACTTAAATGAGAGCCAATATCCGGTTCCTTTAATTGCGATCGTTATATACTTACAACGTTTTGTGAACTGTAAAGTATGTATCCATGGATGTGCATGGTGCAATCAGTTACGGGGCCTTGTCTTTGTTACCTACATGAGTCACATCAAATGCCTAAAACAGGTTGCAATGAAATCTCATTGGGGCGGTCCGTGTTACCACAAAAACGGCACCTTGATATTTTTACGCTTTAGCAAATCCACAGTATTACATAGTACACAGTGGTTCAATTTTTACATTGTTCAAAAAAATCTATTTTATGACAGACACGGTGTCTGAGACACCCTAGCACGGTTAATAATCAATTAACCATAACGGTCCATAAGTACCACTGTATGGAATGCAGTTTGTTCGACTAAAGACAACTAACACTGTGAAATATTTGCGAAAGTGCATTATAATTCTTGTAATGATACACCTCGAACCTCGAAGCAGGACGTTCTCCGAAGGAAACCGAGAAGCCCCCGAAAACTGCACCGATGGGTACGGAAGTCGAGAGCCGCAAAAAGCCTTCTACGTTGTAGTAACCAATGTCCTCTTCCTACATCGAACATACCACTTACGTGAACTAATGCGTATCATTTGCTGTGTTTAACTTTGTGCGTTGTCTGCACTTACTTACTTCCTTTGCGGTAACAGTAATAATTACCATAGTGAATGCATCGCGCACTGCATTGATAATGAGAAGAAAATGAACGGACAAGTTATCACAGCTGCCTAGCCGAACATGGAAATTCCGTGACCTTTTTCAAGTGGCACGTTTTTGTAGAAGACACTTTATTTCGACTTCATTAGTGTTTCGTCTGCGTGAATGAAACGATCAACAACGTTATTACCAAGCAATTCGCAATCCAACCGGTTACTGGCCGCCACACTCTCAAAGTCGTTTTAAGCGGTCCTTGAGGAAATACTGAAGAAAATTAAAATTTTTTTAAGTAAATTTACTAGTAAAAATTGTTGCTGTTTGCTCGTTTTAGAAGATCGTTTGCTCTACGGTTGTTTTTGTGCGAGCAAAGGATCCGCTGCTGGAAGAGATGTTTAAAAATGCATTGAAAGAGAAGTTGTGCAAACTGAAGTTTAGGCTAACGGTCTGAAGCGATGTGTATTATTTGGGTCTACCTAATTTTTTATACGACAGGAGCAAATTAAACATCATCCAAGAATGGGTGCCAACAAACGTGATTGGAAACCTAAGACATCTGAGTACTTTCACTGGCAGCCGATGTGCGCAGAGTTGGTTACTCCAACAGTTTGTTAGTTGGGGCATGCGCAGTTGTGGACACAAAATACGCACAGGATACTAGTTCGCTGCACCCGATTGTCACCAAATGTATGGCTCAAAAAGTTACCAGGACAGCGTTGACTCGCTGGTGACAAATCAAAACAAACGTCAGGACGCTCGAGATGTCTGACACACGATTTAGTCGTTAAGGGATGTAACCCGCTATATGGTAACCAGTCGCTAATTTACACGAAAAGCTTCACTGTGTGTACAGTGAAACCTGGTTTCTAAATACACCTTCGGTTAAAGCAAAACCGTATGTGCTATCCAGGTTTATGTATTACACAGAGCTATATTACAGTCTATGCGACGCGCCGGTATCACCCATATTTTCCCAACTGGATGTTCCGCGCACAAACAGTTTCAGATCA